ACGAAGAATTGAGGCAGTTCTGAAGGCAAAAGGGGGTCCAACCCGTTACTAGCGTGGTGTACCTAATAAAGTGGCCGGTGAGTGTAAACTCATGTTTGTTGGTTGAAATAAAACCGTTTTCTGCTCTAATGAGTCCAGTTCAAATGAGTCTGGTTCAGGACTTTGGTTCTGATCTGATTCCAGTTGGCAGCTGCTGAAGTTTCCCAGGAGAGTCCAGGGAGCAGATCTGGACCCAGACCAAGTGTGAGCTGGCAGCAGAACCCGACACGTGAGGCGAGTCCTGCAGGAGGCATCAGGCCAGCACAGCGTGGAGCAGCAAGGAGGTCAGAGCTGCTCGTTTCTGGATTCATCCTCAGAAAAACATCATAAAAGATGAAAAATAAAGTTTCTTCTCTCAAACAGAAACCTCTGACTGAACCAGACTCTTATTTTGAAAAGCTTTATTAAAGCTCAAACCTCTTCCTGTTTGATTTTTCTTTATTTTTTTCCTTTAATTCTAAATCCTGATTGTTTAAAACATTGATGACATCATCAAACGTCAACCAATCAGAGCTCCTTAAACAAGATGATGTTTTTAATCTGACTGAAAGTCTCAGGCCCACATCATGACCAGGCTCACCTGAGGAACACCTGGACTCAGGTCCAAATCAGGACTTCCTGCTGTGAGGCCTCAGCTCAGACCAGATCTGATCATCAGACTTTAGTTTCTGGTCCCTCAGCTGGAAACTGCTGGTCTACATCTGGACCCTGAACCACATCATGGATCTGGTTTGGTTTTGTTTCTGGACCAAAGCTGAGGTGGTTTCAGCCGGCCAATCAGAGACCGGCCTCAGGTTCAGTCCTGGGAAACTCCCCAGGGTCTCACCAGGGTCTCATCAGGGTATCTGGGTCAAAAAGAGGCGGCCATTCAAGACCTCTGACTTCCTGACCCAAATCTGATGGACACGTGAGGACACGTGAGGACACGTGAGGACACGTGAGGACACGTGAGGGCACAGAGACACGTCCAGAAACAAGGTGCTGAGGGGAGGAGGGGGACCTCGTTAGTCCAAATGAGCTGAACCCACAACAAAAACCTGTTTCTGGTCTCCAAACCGAGACGAAGGACCAGAAAAAAGAGTCTGTTCATGAAGCACAGCTCTGTCTCCTTGGTGAGCTGAACCTCGTGACACCTGCAGGTCCTCAGTCCTCTGTCCTCTGTCCTCAGTCCTCTGTCCTCTGTCCTGTCCTCTGACCTCTGTCCTCAGTCCTCTGTCCTCTGTCCTCAGTCCTCTGTCCTCAGTCCTCTGTCCTCTGTCCTCAGTCCTGTCCTCTGTCCTCTGTCCTGTCCTCTGTCCTCTGTCCTGTCCTCTGTCCTCTGTCCTGTCCTCTGTCCTCTGTCTTCATACCAATATAATCAAATATTCCACTTTTTCTTTTTTACAAGTGAAACTGATTCTGGTTTTAGTTTTGGTGCAGACAGTGAGGACAACCCTGCAGGACCTGCAGGACCTGCAGGACCTGCAGGACCTGCAGGACCTGGACCCAAAACCTGACTGTTTCACAGGCTCTCTTCTGTTTTTGACTTCAGAGGACATCCTGAGTTCTCTGAGGGACACACCAGGTCTCTGGGGGACATCCTGAGGTCTCTGAGGGACACACCAGGTCTCTGAGGGACACACCAGGTCTCTGAGGGACATCCTGAGGTCTCTGAGGGACACACCAGGTCTCTGAGGGACACACCAGGTCTCTGAGGGACATCCTGAGGTCTCTGAGGGACACACCAGTCCCTGCTGTCAGTTAATTTTGCTGCAGTGCATGCTGGGTAAAGACCTGTCCTCTGGTCTGGTTCTGGTCCAGAAGTCTCGTGGTTCAGGTGAGGCCTGCAGAGATGGAGCTCACTGCACGGTCTGACCTTCAGGGTGAAAACAGTGAATAATGTCATGTCTTGGCATTGTGTTACCATGGTAACAGCTGTATACTGTGTCCCTCAGCTGTGGAACATGTAACACACGTGTCCCATGACGGCGAGGACACCCAGCAGCTGGTCTTATCGGTCCATCAGCTCCAGCAGCTCCAGCAGCAGCAGGGTCAGCAGCAGCAGCAGCACGTAGCAAACATTAGCTGTAATTACAGCCGTCTGCAGAGGAAACTGATCCAGATCTGCTTAGATCCTGCAGGGTCTGTCTGAGACCAGCTCAGACCTGCAGGGTCTGTCTGAGACCAGCTCAGACCTGCAGGGTCCATCTTAGACTGGTTTCTATCAGAACCATGAAGAACAGGACTGGGTTCTATTTGTGGGTCCAGATCTTAACAGAACTTTGAGGACTCTCCCTGGTGTATCTCAGACTGGATCTAAAACCTGTTTCCTGTTGTTCAGACGACAGAAACACTGAGGAAGAGGAGGAGACACCAGGCTGCTGTTTGATGATGAAGAAACATGTGTCTGGTCACGTAGCCACCACACACACACACACACACACACACACACACACACACACACACACACACACACACACTTGTTCTTCTATCCTCGGTGGGACTTTCATTGACTTTCCGTCCTGGTCATTGCCACAGCAGTTTGTGCTCACCTGGTCTGCAGCGCCCCCCAGTGTTGTGACGGCCTCCTGCAGCCGCTCTCTGACCTTTGACCCCCGGTGATAAAGCTGCAGGCTGAGGGTCAGCAGGAGGCTGCGGGCTCTGGTCCACGGGCCAGGCTCGTCTTCCTCGTCTTCATCCTCGTACTCCTGAACCCTCATCTCCCACTCCCGCCCTGAGGACCAGAAACATTTCAGCTGATGCTGTGGTGAGTCAGCATTTTACTTATTTCATTTATTTACAGACTTCGACATTTGGTTTTTGTAACATTTATACATGTTTATGTATGTTTACATATGTTTATGTATGTTTACGTATGTTTATATATGTTTATACATGTTTATATATGTTTATGTATGTTTACATATGTTTATGTATGTTTATATATGTTTATGTATGTTTATATATGTTTATGTATGTTTATATATGTTTATACATGTTTATATATGTTTATGTATGTTTACATATGTTTATATATGTTTATACATGTTTATATATGTTTTTGTATGTTTATATATGTTTTTGTATGTTTATATATGTTTATGTATGTTTATATATGTTTATACATGTTTATATATGTTTATACAAGTTTATATATGTTTATACATGTTTATATATGTTTATGTATGTTTATATATGTTTATATTTATTTATGTTTATTGACACTATTTTTTTCCACACTTGGAACGAGGGGAACATGGTTGTCTGGGTGGAACGGTTGCTGCTGGATTTGTCTGATTCCTGGGGCTGGAGTCCGATATACCAGCACCACTTTTCATCGAAGACATGGAAGATCTTTATTTAATTGGATTATGATAAATGGATTCCTGCTGATCGGCAGAGGAGGGTTCCAGATTTATCGAAAAGTGAAAGCGACCCTGACAGTGGATTGGGCCTTTTAAGGAGCTGTTCGGACGCACTTGAAGGATTCTGCAGGGCTGGAAGCACACAGGCTCTCAGCTGGGGGGAAATTCACAAACTGGATGTGATTATGAGGATCACAACTCAGGAGCGACCCTTCAGCATGTATGGACTACATTCTGGGTGAGCTTCAATCGGTGTGAGGCGAGGAAGACCCCATATTCGGCTGATTGGCTTTTTTCACCACCTCAGAGTTTGCAGTAAAGACACTTGAAAAGCAGCAGGAATTTCAAGGCTGCTTTGTTCCAAAACAGTTGGATTTTCTATCTGGCTCCCAGCAGCACGGCCTTGAGGGCTCAGCGATCAGGTTATCAGATGTTCGTTTTAATCTTGTTCATTTAGTTAATCTCAGATAACTTACAGATTCAGACACAAAAAGTTTTTACTTTTGAAATTATTTCAGCATCAGTCGGTGTTTCTCTTCTTCTCTTCATATGAATCATAATTAACCCTTAAATTGCTGGAGGAAGTGAGACTCACGTGTCTTACTGCACATGTCTGATCAGGAAATCTGTGATCCACCCAGTGGGTCCAGTAAACAAACTGTGAACGTGCATTAATCCCAGATTATTTACAGCTGGTTTTAATGAACAACCCTAACTGAGCGTGGCTTGGTGTTAGATCAACTGATTACAGCTGTTTACAAGTTGAAGGCTAGTTCAAGATCAGCTTACAGCTCAGATCCTGAGTTTAGAAATCTGACTTTTGTGAAATGGACCTCAGGACCTGAACCACCTGGTCTCTGACTCACGCAGTGTTGGTGGGAGGGGCATGTAGAAGGCGGTGGCGTCCTCCAGGAGAGTCAGAACATTGTCCAGTCCCAGCGAGGCCGCCTGGCCCACCTGGGAGTCCTGCAGCTGCCTCACGGCCCGGCGGACCGCCTCGACCACGCGCTCCAGCTGGTCCACAGCTCCGTCCAGACTGTCCACCACCCAAACCTCCACGTCGTCCAGAGTCACAAAGAAGGCATCTTTCAGGTGAGTCAACACCTGGTGACAGAGACCAGTCAGACTTTATGCATGTTTACTATTCAGGTCTGATTGATAGAGAGAAAACAAACCTGATCTGTCGACTCGTTCAGGATGGGAAAGGCTTTCTCCAGACGGTCGAGTCCATCCAGTGCAAAACTGTTGGCAACGTCAACTGCAGAAATAGAAAAACCAAATAAACTACAGCGTTAGCAGTGGTTAGCAGGGTGTTAGCAGCAGTTAGCAGGAAGTTAGCAGCTGTTAGCAAAGGTTATCAGTAAAGTAGGGTGTTAGCAGTTGTTAGCAGCAGTTAGCATGGTGTTAGCAGCAGTTAGCATGGTGTTAGCAGCAGTTAGCATGGCATTAGCAGCTGTTAGCATGGTGTTAGCAGCTGTTAGCATGGCATTAGCAGCAGTTAGCATGGTGTTAGCAGCAGTTAGCATGGCATTAGCAGCATTAGTGACAGTAAACATCTCTACAGTATGATCTGTGGTTCCAGCAGCATTCAGGTCTACGTACTCTGTGGTTCCAGACTCTGGAGGAGGGGGCTGACTTGTCTCATGGCCTCTCCTGAGACTCTGCGAACTCCCACCTCTGCCACTCCTGCCATCATGTTCAGCAGGAGGTAACGACCTTTGAACTCTGAGTATGTTGCACTCACTGTCTGTAACGCTGAGTGAACCAGAGGCAGACGGGAAACTCTCAGCAGGACACTGGACTGAAACACAGGTTGGACCGGGTCATTCTAGACTCAGCAGGTCCACAGAACTGGTTTTATACTGGAAAACAAACCTGCTCAGACCTGACTCACCTTGTGATCTGTGTGGTGTTCCATTTGTTCTTCAGCAAATATAAAGAGAAACAGAATGAAGGAGAGATCATCATCATCATCATCATCATCATCGTCATCATTATCATCATCATCATCCTCATCAGCATCATCGTCATCATCATCATCGTCATCATTATCATCATCATCATTATCATCATCATCATCTTCATCATTGTGACGGCCCTGCTACATTAG